GTACTGCTTATCCCACTGTACTAGGAACGTGTATGCAGACGGTCAGCTGTTTCCAAAGTCATGGAGAAGGCACGAAAGCTTCATCATAGAATTTGTCAGATGCCTGTAAAGCTTGAATTTAGGCTCAGGAGTTACAGTCTTAGATCTGGTAAATATGGGCCAGCCAAAGCCTGACTGATAGAATGAACCACCACTGTAATCATTCTGAGATGAGACTGTTAACATCTTGTTGAGGGAATTAGTTTGTGGAAGAAATCTCAGGTGCATTTTAGTTGAAACTGATGAGAATGAAACATGATGATGTTGTCTGGAATAAGATGCAGAAGATACATGTTACTTTTATTTTTATTTTTTTAAGTGTATGAATGGTCATTGAAACACCGTTTGATAATGCATACATGAGCATTAGCATAGCTCAGATACAGTGGAGACAGTGAACATTGCATCCACAGCAACACAGCAACAGTGTGCCCAAACTCCAGAGGAAACAAACTTCGGTCAAGTGAAGTGAATGGGAAAACTGTGGTAGCTCTCACTGACATTAATGCCATCTATTTACTTGTGAATGCATTAATCACAATAATTGTCTCTGGATGTGTATGTGCACTCTCTATCGTGACCAATGAAAAACTACGAGTAGGTATCAAAATGAGATCAGTGATAAAATGTGAAAGCCTACTTCTCATTCAAAAGTTTTAAGAGAGACTTTTAAGTTGAAACAGAAACATGAATTAGTATCTTTTAAATCTTACTTTGTGGTGCACATAGAAGTGTGGGTGTTGAAGAACAGAACAGCAATCATCTGATGAACAGCTGCAATCTATGCTAAGACCCTCACTGAAATCCATATTAAATTGAAATATTGGAGCCCTTTTTAAACACATAAAAAATCCCTGTGTGCTTTTTTGGATAACTGCTTTATCTGGCAACTTGATCTGGGCATATGATTCAATATTTACCAGTGATCATCATCAGTGAATTTGTAGTTTGGTAACACATAGGGATGAACCCCATCTAACTGGTATCAATGCAGTAACTGTGTCCCTGATCTACACTTTTCTTACAGCATCTGATAAAGTTTTAAATGGGAGGATTTACTTAAGACTGGCTTCATTTCCTTTTCCTTTGCTTTTAGAATTTTTTTTTAAAGTATTTAAAGGAAAAGTCAAGAAGAATAGATATTACTGGAAATATTGGATCCATAGGTTTGTAGTTGAAATGCAACAAAATGGAGGGGATCTTGCTCTACAGGGCCTAATTTTAACTTACTAACTTACTATTTACTTACTATTTAACTTACTATTTGCCCTTCTGCAAATACACAAATAATGTATTTTTGACACTATGTATCCTAAGTTGATTTGTCAGCTTTTATCCCTGACTTTTAAAACTACTCATCAAAACCCTCAAGTTTTCCCTTTCTTCCTATAGATAGCTTCATCACAACATAAATATTATAGTTTAAAGAGGGAAAGTATGTGAAATATTCAGCTATTTTCCTTTACCCTTCCAAGTAAAAAAGAAACTGTGTTTAAACTGACAGAAAAATCTCTTCATTCTGCAGCAGTCTTCCATCCTCTCCAGATGGTAAAGAAACCATGATTTTTTTTCCTATAATCGGGGAACTTTGAGGAAACAGTAGAAGACCCTGCTGAATTTCCATTTGCAGTGACTTCCTCTCCCTCATTTAATTTCTTTCCTCCCTATTTCATTTTATAGCCCAGAAAAACCAATACTTGCTCTCATACCTCAGGTTCCAAGGTGACTTTGGTCTTACAGGGAAACCTCTGGCAGGCCTGGTGGTATGAAAAGGAAGATTTGGGGGTAGGAGAGATGCATTCATCAAGCACACTGCTATCTCAAACAAAGATGCTTCCCTGGGATGTGTGGCCAAATAGAAAATGCTGTTGCTGAGTGTGAGCAGGAATTTCGGACAATATTTACCATTTCACCAGATTTCAGAATCACACATATTCTAGCATTTCCACAGGTCACACGGTATGAGGTTTTAAATGTAACTTACAGGTTTTAGGGCAACAAAATTATTCCTTATTAGAATTAAAAAGGCTTTTTTATTATTTAAGTAAAAAGGAAGGTCATTGATAACTGCAAACACGTTAACTTTCAAGCACTGCACTAGACCTCAGCAATTCTTGTATGACATTAAATTTCACATAAGGGCTGTTCAGCACACTTGGGATTGATACCATTTTAAAGTTACCTGTCATATAGGAAAATTAAGAGCAATGTATATTGGTAGGCTCTGAACACAGGAACTTCTCTCCCTGACCTTGCTAGTGAATTTGATACAGGACCAGCATGTCCAACATGCTACTCCTGCCTGCTCCAGACTTCTGGTGGAACAGTTGGCAAGTTCCAAGTATTTACACACACCAACATCCCCAGAAAGCATTTTGCATGACTGGATGACTATCCAGGCTTGCAGGGTGAATTTGATTTTTACTACAGAATTATGAAGAAAGAATGCCATAATATTGATACAGCCACAATACCACCACTGTAAGGTATAATGCCACCACTTAAGTATAAAAGGAAGTATTCACAACCCTTTCATAGGGATTTGATAAAAAAAAAACTTCCAAGAAACTCTGACAGAAATTGTAAGAAAAGTTGTTTGTGAATCAAAATGTCTGTCAGCGACAATGAAGAGTTATAGGTTTCCTTTTGTATTTACAACTCATCTATTCACCATAACTTCAGTTCTTAACTACAGATCCCTATCTCTCTGTGCAATTTACCTGTCTGTTAAGACAACAACCACTTTATCTAAATAAATGCTGGCAAGGTTGATTTTTACTGCTGGTCACTTCTGAAAAGCATTTTTTGATATGCTACATAGGTTAGTACATGCCTTAAAAAATGTAGTAGTCACATCTGCAGTTTGAATGTTTCTTTCTAAGAGACAAACCCAGGCCAAGCAAGACAAAGAATCTGCTGATACACACATGTCACTCCAAGAATTCTCCTGACAAAGTTCCCACACCCAATTTAATTACTTCCCTACTGTAAAAACACTTTCCATCTGCATTTATTGTAATAGTTTCAAATCCAAAACTAACAGACTATAAAGCTAGCTAAATAAATGAATGATATTGGCCTTAGGTCCCAAGCCAGGAGCTATTCTGTAAGGCTGTGTGTCTCCAGCATTCATTTTTATGCTGATGTTTCATTTTATGTGCAGTGTTTTCACTTAAGCCTTGTTTAGAGAAGAATTACCTTGCTCCAGGCTCTAAAGTGTGATGTGCCACACAGAGCCCTCTAGTGCCGTTCCAGCCAGAGGTCTGTCAGAGATTCCCCTCCAAGACCAAGTCACATTGCACCCAAAAAATCCCACTTGATGCTGTGCACACAGCACTGCATATGCTCGGGCTAGGAACACTAATTTCAACTCTGTCTGATACATCCTCCAACTGAGGCTGCAGAGCTCAAAATGGAAAGTGTTTGTGTTTGAAAACACACTTCAAAAAATGAAACTACCTGATTGACTATTTGTAGCGTGTTCTCTTGCACCTTCAAGAGAAAAAAAAAAGCACCTTATTCCTCAGACTCAGCATGAAGGATTTAACTACAGCTTGTAAGAAATTTCCTGATGTGCAGAGATAGTAACAGTATATTGCATTCTGGGTCCTCAGTGTTTTCATCACACTTTGATGAATTTACATCAGACTGGAATTCATAGTTTTTAAAGGCTTGAGATACAATAGTCTTATTTGGGCAATCACAACACCTAAAACTATGCACTTGTATATGAGTGTTATGCTAAGCTGGGATTCTCCATGGTGTCAAAATACTCAGAAAGAACTTGACCTTTATAATAAATTTCAATCCAAAGCAGCAGCACAGCAGGTAAGTTTTTCATTTAGAAATTACAAGTACTGAAGGGCAAAGCAGGTTTCAGGTCCTGTCAAAACTACTACTGACTATGCTGCAAGCATACTTGGACACTGAACTCTCTTCCCTTTTCGGTTCTTACCAAACTAAATGAAAAGACATATTAATAACAGACATGAGCTAATCAAAGAAATTCAGATGGTGCACAGTGCAGCTCAAGGCACAGATACTATAATGGCCTTGGATATTGCAGGTGACCCCCAGAGGATCCTGCTGCAATAATTAAGGAACAGGTAAGATATAGGTAAGAATAGGCTTTTGCCTATTTGCTGGGGGGCAAACCTTGAATTATTTAACTTTTCTGAGTTTTAATGACATTATTAGTGAAATGTCAGGTTTATTTTGTGGCTCTCCCTTCACAATGAAAGCTTCTGAGCTTTTATGACACTGAAATAATCTTCTATACAGAGGTAAGACAAAGACAAGAAGCACTCACTATAAACTGAAGAAAACTATCCACCAGTTTACTAACCACCAGGAAGATGTGCATCTAAAACAGCTACTATTTCACTTGCCCAAAATTATCCATACACATACATACACGTGTGAAACATGGAACTTAAATCCATTTCCTTTTTCCCATGTACATGAAATTAGAAACGACTGTGCTGCAAAGGAATGTATGGCTTCTTTCCAGCTTATGAACACAGCATGTTTTTCACATGTGAAAACAAAATGAAGTTTTGGTAAGGGAAAATTTTCTCCAAATAAATAATTAGTTTTCCACACTGGAAATTATATTTTCATAAAACTTCAAGACCCAGGTACGCAGAAAAGGGATAACTGAAGAAAGTGAGATCTGATCACACAGATTTCCCTATACTATTTAATAGCTGGGATTTTTTAAAGTTGAATGTGACCATTTAGTGTTGTGCCATCATCTAAACTCAACAACCCAGACTCCAGGCTGCATCTTTGACCGGGAAAAGAGAAAAAACCCTTTTCCAGAGTGAAAACCATTACAACTGATCCAGCCACTCGTTCTTTGCAAAATGAGACTCTGTGGCCCTGATGCTACAATTCCACAGCTCAGCTCGGCCTCGCTCACTGTGCCACAGTCATTTGGAGTCAGCCCTCGAGTACTGTACCTGGGATTCTGCGGCTCTGAACCATCGGACTCTGGACACGGCTTCTTCACCTGCAAAAGCAAAGCAGTGCTGGTTACTCTCACCTGCAGCACAACTTCCTGCTGCTCCCACTCAAGCACTCACAGCAGAACTAAAAGTGGATCCTGCTCTGCTCACCGTGATCTCTATAAAATATTTCCCGCACTTTACAGCAGCAGTTTGCAGTACTAAACAGTGTGTTTCATTATTATCCCATGAACAGCTGCCAACTGCACTTCCCCAGGCTCCATTAGTAGGTAAAACGTTCAGCTAAAATAGCTTGGGGAGCAGTCTTAACTAGGAACAAAGAAACCAAAGAACCAGGTTCCCCACTTTGAAATGAGAAAGCCATACTGTTCTCAGCTTGGCCAAGAAATGTTTCCCCAATTGACACTGCTTCTGTTTCCTGCTAAAGCACAAAATAATAAACACTAGGTTCTGGGGCAAAGCACACCATTAGTTAAATAATTCATATGGTATTTTTAATTTTGTGAATCTGCTAACTGTATGTTAACTATATTCTCCTATTGCATCAATGAACACATGCACCGTTTTCACTCGTATTTACAATATTTAAGTACATAAAAGGAATTTTAGCTTCCAATTTGATCTCCACAATACACTGCTGTCAGCTGACTGGAGGTGATAAAATCCATCACTGTCAAAAAAAAAAAAAAAAAGAAAACTGTTCTCTTGCAGACTAGGTATCTCCTTGGGATCTTCATGATTTCCAGCAAAAATTTAATTGTACCTTCTGGTAATCTAAATTACTTGCATTTTCAGCAGAGGAAAGAAACCTTTTCCTCACTAGCTTGCTAATGCAAAATCCAGGGCTCTGTGGGAGGTTTCAAAGTTCCAGTTTTAAAGCCACCTAGCAATATCACTCGCTGAGACTCACTTGGTGTGAGAGACACAATAAGAAAAAACATTCCCTTTACAACCAGCAAGTTCAGTGACAAGTTTCAGGATGCCTTGCATCAAGAAATTCTCCTATACTTTTTTCTACTTTAGAAGTATTTTTTCAGAAGAAAAAAAATTGTGACACAAACCCAAACCTGACAGGCATACAAACATTCAGGTGCAAACATCATTGCTACAGTTTTATGTTAACCACATTGTCATTAAAGTAGCATAACACCAGAAATAAAATGCTTCAGATATGTAAGCATATGACCACCATCTACCATGAAAAATGCCTTCAGTGAGCATTATATAAAAACATGAGAAACAGTTACTCAGATTACTGTACAGAGTGTCTTTGAGTGTCAGTATCCGAGGGAGCTGTTCAAATAATATATTCAAAATCATTTAAATACACTGTAATTACAACAGCCTCTCCTTGTCAGGATGAGTGTAACTTCAGGAGCATTTTGTCTCAACTGAGTTGAGAGTATTTGACCAGAAAAATAGTATTTTCATTTCGCATATAAAATATAATTTTAAATAATTGAAAGCATAATGTATTTAGAGCTACAAAAGACAAGAATGTAACATAATTAGAATTAATTAGAAAAATAAGCATATGCCTAGTAGCTATATAGCATGGACCCTAGCAGAGATGCTTTTTCCATGTCCCTTTAGCATATACTCACTTCCAGCATATTTTTGTTATCTCCTTGCTCTTAAATTTGCTGGCATTTATACATTCCTTTCCAATTTGCTGTTCTGTGGCTGCCACCAGGAGCACTGTCTCTCACGTTTGCACTGGGGCTCAGATCTCCCTCCCCAAGTCAGGAAAGTTCAACCATGACTTTACCCAGCTGCTGGAGAGTCTGTCACCCAGACATCCCAACACCCAGATTTTGCAAAGTGATGGCATGTCCCATGGTGGGCGACTACCACAGAAGCCCCAAGATAGTTCTAGCAAAAATTAACATAACCTGAGCACTTTTAAAATACAGAATATATTAAGACCCCTGGTTTTCCCAGGCAGGAATGGGAGATGCAGTAATTGGGGTACTCGCAGATGAGTTTTCCTACCATAGCTCACACTACTATTGCATTTTATTTTGACCAACATTACAAAGCAGTCGAAATATCTGAAAGATTATGCTTTATCTGTATAAATTAACATTAAACATTACATTAACATTAAACATTAAACAGAACAAAAAAAACACCAACAAAAAACCCAACTGACAAATTTTGATAAAATTTGAATGGTCATATCAGAAAAGTCACTGACCAATTGTATCAAAATTACTCACTTCCCATGTCATGCAACAAACTTGGGGGGAAAAAGTGAGTATTTTTTATTTAAGAATATTGCAATGAAAGCAAAATACTTTAAAAAGTCAATATTTCAGGTTTGCCACTTGGCATATAGATGATGCAGTTCATCTATGATCATTATCTGAAAAAATGTGCAGAAGCACAGAGTATAGAATTGGCTTTTCCTCTGAGACTAAATGTAAACTTCATTGTGTATCTTTAAGGTCCTTCTTTGAGAGAACAGATTTAATAATTAAAAATGTTATTTCTTAAAGGACGAACAAGCATGGGATTTTCTTTCAAGTGGCCATATGGAATGAACACCATTTCTCTTCAAGGCTACTCAAGTAGCAAAACAAATTCTGTTATTCATAAAATTATGCCACCCTTGGAGGTGAACAGAAAATCACTGTGAAAATGTCTGATCAAAGACTAAATATTGTTTCCTTTGTCTTCAGCTGCACTGTTTTACCTCTTAATCTGCCTTGCTGACTGTTTTCAAAATAATTAACTTTCACCAACACCACATTTATTTACATTCTCATGTGTTAAATGCTATAAAAAGAACCTTTTTCTTTCTTTACTCCTGGTCTGTTTTCCTTTCCCCCCTCTCTGTTTACACAGGTTTTCTCACCATTTTAGTTAAATGCATGTTGAGAATCATTCACAAGAGTAAGATTCCAGTTTCAGTTTGAATTATCTTGAACTGCACTGAACTTTCCTACTCTGGTTGCCTGCTACAAAATGTTTGAAAAGTTTCAGCTGAAAACTTTTAAATACAAATATTTGGGAGAACAGTTTGTTGTGTTCATGTTTTGAATGTCACGTCATTAGGCTGCTGATTGGCTTCAGCGCCTGAAAGTTGGAGGCAAAATCCCAAAACTGAAAGGGGAAGGGGGGAGTTACCAATACCCAGGAATTTCTGTGAATTGGTGCCCACATTCATTTCCGTTTGTAAGATTCTAAAAGGCCTGTTGTCACACTGTTGGTGAACTCCTGTTGCAGTCTGGCTCCTGAATTTCTGAAGACCCTATCTGCATTGATACTCTCCATCTCAAAGATGCTGGTGCTGAACGAGCCTTAGGATTACTTCTGAGTGCCAGGAGAACCCCATGCCATCAGGAAATCTGACATTATCAAAACTGTCCTTTGCTTTGTCAGTTCCATCTCCCACTGGTACAGGGTACCCAGGCAGTACCCTGAAAGAAAAAAAACAAACCTGTAGACTCAAATGAAGGGAGGAAACACAGGAAAAAAAAAGAACAAGGAGAAGGAATGGAAATCGGGACAAAAGAAGAATGGGCTCTCCATTGTGGCAAAACTACAGGAGAGCAGAAGCCAAGTGACAAAATTGTGACAGATGTAGGGGGGTGGTGTGGACAGCAGAAGAATACTGAGACTGGCTGAGATAGGACACCACAGTTTGCTCTCCTTTCTTCTAGATTTGGGACTAACATCACAAACCAAGCCTAAGCACTCATCAGATACCTGTGAAACTACTTTAAAAAGTCATTAGTGGCCAGTCTGCCCAGAGCAATGGACTAGTTCTGCTACTCCAGCTTTACTGAAGACCTAATTAATGATCCAAGCTGGGAAGCTACACTTTGAACTTACAGGGTTTTGTATAAATGTTGCATTTATGTAGAAAAGTGAAAGTATCATTTGGCTTAAATTTTTATAAAAAGTAATCAAAGTTTTATACAATTTCTACCTTTGCCTCTGACTTGGTTCATCAGAATTCAAATATGATCACCACTAAAATGTCTGATAATGTGAGAGCATTGTGAAAAAGAGATGCATTTATTAGACAGCAAAGAACTGTAATAAAGGTATATGATAAATATTTACATTATGAAGGATTTTATATTAATCGAGCTTTGGATGCTTCATGTTTAACAAAGATAGAGTGAAGAACATTAAAAGAAAAATCTAACTATGCGTTCACTGCAAGAAATAAAAAAAGACACCCCCTGGAAAGCCTAGGATGTCAGGTAATAAGATCTGCACCCTAATGCGTAAGAGGCTGAATTTCCACAGGCCATATTAATTCTGGCATTTCCTTGCTTCTGATGTTTTTCTTTGCAACATTAACATCTTTTAACATGATTTTATTGGACCCCATTACACTAAATGTTAAACCATGAAATGGTCCTGCTCTATGAGGTGTTCTCACACACACACACTGGTGGTATTAAACTCGTAATGCAACACAGGTGAGAAATCCCTTCTAACACTTACAGCTGAAAAATATTGCCACATCAGCACTAAATTATTCTGGCAATGAATCTGCTGAATTCCCTCATCTACTGCACCAATTTCAGCCTTGAGGATCCCTCCTAAATCAGCAGGATTGCAGCAGGACTGAGTAAAGCCTGCAATGCTTTGGGACTGGAGGAAGCAGCTATGTGTGGTGGTTCTGGGGAGGCTCTAGCATCAAGGAGACAAGAATGAAGACAGAAAAGTACTTTTTGGGGACCCAAGGACAACCTCAAAGCACATCTTTGTGCTTGCTCAGCCTGTGTGATTGCTCTGGAGTATGGGTAGAGCAAGTGCACTTCGACTGCCTGGATGATTCCCTGCAGCAAATTCCTCTGGAGAAAAGTTGACTCTGCTCATTGTCCAGAGAAGAAGTCTGTAGAACACCTCCAGGAGAGGATGGCACAGGCAGGGGAACAATTTGATGGAAATGTCAGATAGAAGAATATGACAGGACACAAGTGACACTGCAATGGGAATGAACAGTAAAGTAGTTCTCAAATGATTTTGGATACTGACTTTGATAGTGTTTACATGAAGTTTTTAATTGTCTTGACAACAAAAA